TGCCTCCTTGTATGGCGGCAAGTTGGGGGGCTCCACCACCAGGTGGGCGGCATACTTGGAAGAGTAACGCGCGCGCACCCTGATGGTTGCCGTCATGTCGGTCCCACCTGCTGCACCTGTGTCTATTGCAAACATAAACAAGCAAACAGAGGTGCTTGTCGGGAGCCCAGTCATCATGGCCACTACCCATCCAATCATCATCGTCCACAGCCCCCCTGCAGGGCATCAAGTTAAGACCGATGGCGGTGGTGAAGACCATTAGTAATGCATTCCGTTGACCTGGTGGTTGGGCCGCACCACGTGGCAATGTTCACGCATGGCAGGCATGAAGAATGGACGCTTGGGCAACAGATGCAGGTGTGCATGGCATCAAAAGAGTAGGAGCTCCACATGAGGCAGTTTGCCGATTTTTGTGAATGGAGTCTGACTTGAGCTGCTGCCTTATGAATGGTATTTGACTTGGGCTGTTGCTGGTGCAACTGCGCATGTGTATCAACATAGCAACACCCCGGCATTCATATTATAGCACTGCTGCCGCGGAGTTCTTAGCGCGACCAATCATGCAGGCAGGCATGCCTCTTGTGCTGTGCATGGCTCTGGCCCTCTTACCACCTTGCCTTGCGCAATGCTTGTAAGCTTCATGCTGTTGTTGTTGTTGTTACATGGTCGTGGGTGCGTTCCCCGTACCTGCAAACCACCCTAGTACGAGCCGAGGGCTCAAGGGCTGCCAAATCGCCTATAAGCAGCATCCTACCTCGCACTTCCAACGAAACAAGTAATGAAGTATACTAACGACCAAAGGGAACGATAGAGTTGCGGTGAGACCATATACGTTCCAGCATTCTTGCCAGGCGTTCAGGTTCCCACTTCATAGTGTCCTTCATATGTTCGAAGCGTGGAAAGCCCATATCAGATCTGATTCCGTCGTAAACCGGACAGTCCAGCAAAATGTGTTTCTCATCCTCGATGTGGCTATCAGTGCCGCAGCAGGGGCATACTCACTCCTCCCTAGGTATATAACGCCGTCCCTTACGCGCTCTGTTAGACGCCAGTGCCCAACAGCAAAGCCTAAACTGCATAAGCTTGCGATTCGCCGAACGTGGGATAAACATTGTGATGTGCGGGAGCACCTCCTTCCTGCCCGCTTGCTCGGCCGCCAGCCCCATCCAATGCTTATACTTCACCATGTGAATTCCTGGTTGTTTGCCGTCTGACGGATACACGTCAGGCTGGACATCTAAACGTGTATGCTTCCAACCACTCATTAATCGTACCTTGAACTCCGAAATCACACCTTCTGGCATTGGCTTGTTCATCAGCCACTCCACTCGTTCGTCTACCTCGTGTAGCCCTTGCGGGGCCTCTTTCCATACATCGTGCCCCAAAAAACATAGAAAACGGAGGAGTAGTGTCCCCCATCCGGGCCCTTCGGGGTTGGAGAGGGATTCTGCGACCTCCTGTCGCAAAACTTGGTATGCCACAGACCCATGCTGTAAACGGACATGGTTCCAAAACCTCACAACCTGCTTGAGAACGTGGTAGTGTAGGGGTAGCTGCGATAGCTCTGTGAACAAGAGGCGGTGTGTTGGTCTGGCAGCTCCTACAATTTGCCGCATGAAAGATATCTGAAGCTGCACTGCCCTGTCCTTTAGGCACGCCTTGAAGGGCCCCTCTGCAAGGTTATTCACATCACTCCGCTTCCTGTGCCTGTCCGAGACCTCAGCTAGCATAAACGGCCCCCACGCTTGACAACCATACAACAGTATTGCTCGTACCTGCGAATCGAAACACCTCATCCTCACATCTGGGGCGAACAACTTCAGCTTATCTAATTTTGCACTCAACGCGAACATAGCTGCTCTAGCTGTGTCATACAACTGCTGGCAGCAGGCCCAGAACTGCCGTTCTGGCCCATACACTAACCCCAGATATCGCGCACTATCCTTAGCCGGTATGGCCTCTCCAGCCAGCCTGAGCTCATCACACGATGCTTGGACAGCACTTCTAATGTTGCTGTCACTCGCAAAAACGAGGCGTTCACATTTCGACACATTTGGGCGCATCCCAAAATCGTCACAGAACATGTCCACAATGTTGAGCAACTCCCCCATGCGTCCTGGTGTTGTTGCCAGAAGGCTAACGTCGTCGGCATAGAGAAGGATGGACACTCGCTCATTTCCAACCTCCGGTGCATCCTCTGGCTGTGCCCCGGTATTAATACCGTCGTTCATATCGATGACGTCCGCGAGGGTTTCAATGTAGAGCCCAAACAGCTCAGTTGATAGTGGACAGCCTTGTTTCACACCCTGTTTTGACTCAAATTCACCTCCAGCCTTGCCATTCGTCTTGATGACCATCGTAACCTTATCATACGCCCGCATCAGCGACTGCAGCATGGACCCTTCAACCCCTCTCTCTTGCAAGCGAAGCCACATTATCTCCCGCGGCACCTTGTCAAACGCCTTCTCAAAGTCAATTTGCACGATGATTAACGGCCGCTGTCCCGGTTGGCTGTGCCTAGTAGTAAGGTACTGCTTGGCAAAGAGATGATGTGTAGTACCGAAACCTCTTCTGAAACCCGCTTGGCCTCGATGCCTAAGTGAGAGCGTCTCCCCTGTGCGAACGAGCCTATCCAGGAGGACCAGCGCATAACATTTCGCCAAAGCGCCCCCTACTGCTATGCCCCGGTAGTTACTCGGCATGCTGGGGTCCCCCTTCTTGTAAATAGGGGTGAGGACGGTAGTTGTAAACTGCCGTGGGAAGTCCCCAGTCGCCCTGATATGCTCCAGAAGCACGTGCAGTACCGGAACAAGCTGATTCACTTCTCCCCGTCGCCTGCCCCCACCATTACCCGACGCGGAGCCTTCTTCCTCTCGGGGCAAACGCGCATAGCGGTAACATTCCGACGGCGCTACTTCCAAACCTGGTGCCTTACTGTTAGGCAGCCGGTCACTGGCACGTGCGACTTCCTCCAGCGTGAGAGGGGGGTCTAGGATTTCTGCTGCCTTCGCAGTCCTGCCCAAAACCGAGTGGGATGACCGCCATTCCTGCCCCTCTAGGAACTGCCCAAAGTTAATGAAGTTCAAAAGCCGGTTCGCACCATCAGGCCCTGTCTCCCCTACACCTGCGTTTAAGAGCCCAGCAAAGTGTTCCCTAAAGACCTCAATATCGTCTATCGCACATCGCTCTCTCAACTTCCCTCCTAAAGCCCGCCACAAAGCTCGTTGGTCTTGCCAACATTTGGCCACAAACTCTCTCATCCTATCCTCCTCATATGCCGCCCTTGTGTGTCTTTTTGCCCGGTTATAATCTGTCCGCACATGGCGGAAAGCCTCCCACTCCGGACCCGATTTATTACTCACCCGGCCTGGACCCAGATGTGCTCTACTCTCCAACATGCGTTGCCGTGTTTGTTGACATTCCCGGTTCCACCAAACCGTATTCCCACCTGCCGTCATGCCGGTAGGTCGGTGGGTATCGAAGGCCCTCACCAGGACTTTGTACAGGGCACCTCCAATGCGTTCGACAGCTTGTGTGGTGTTGCAAACTCCCCTCTGCAGGTCCTCGGCCACTTGGCTTAAGGCATTCATAGTAGGGGACCCCCCCTCAAAATATTCCGCATAATCCTGGTATCGTGCAATATCAAACTCCACCCGGGCTTTCTGGCCTTTACCGTCCCTACACCTGCTTTCGTCATCCACTGTAACATTAAGAACAAGCGTCAAAGGACGGTGGTCGGTGGGCTCCCATCCATCCAACTCGATCAGGTTTCCTACCCTCAGAAAGGTGGCGTACTGCTGAAGCACACGCGGAGTCGCTATGAATAAATCGATCATACTACCGCCTGCCTCCCCCTTAGGGAAAGTTAGGCGGCCTTCTGGGTCCCCTCTCATCCGGCCGTTCATCACGAGCAGTCCCTCGGATCTGCAGAGCGCCCCAAGCTGGGCACCAAAGAAATTGCAAACTTGGTCCTGGCACTTTCGATTTCCGAGTCCATCATAATTCTGGTGGTCCCTCAGTCCTTCAAAA